TGAATTAATAGTTCTGTGTTGGGCTCCTGTTTCTATACAGTTTTAAGACCAACAGGGTAAAGTTGCCCTTAGTGATTTTCTAAAGTTGGGAGGCTGTAGGAACACACAAAGGACAGTAACCACAAACACACTCACATGTAAGGAATCTTGTCCGTAGCATAATTTTTACTAAGCAGATGATTAAGGCTACAATCACAAATATATAAAACCTAAGATCATACTGTATTCCTACTCACGTACCCAAAGATATTATAGTCTGGTGGATGTATCAACAGTTGATCATCAATAAAGGGGTGATTCCTGCTGGGGTCTTCCCGAAAGGTTCTTCCTACCCTATCCATGCCAGGAAATCCTTTTTATCCTGTTATGACCACACTAACACCTTATGCATAGCATGAGGGTTTCAACCTTCTTTTCCTTATCTGTACTTCACAGCCAATAAATTCTGGGGTACTCTGCTATTCATAGGTTATTCTTTGTTTCCTTTATTCTTATAAGCATCTTAGTAACATTTACTTAGACATGTTACCATGGTAACCTGTGGTAAGAACAGAACTTTCCATGATGTTACAATCAGTTGCCTTGTAATCTCTCATTTTTTCTCTCATTACAACTTTCCTTACTGCCACCTATGTGTAAATCTCATGTAAAAGGTATGTAATTATGTTAAATTGTTCTTTAGTGCAAATACTGTCCAGATTCTGACATTTGTTAGAGCTACATTATAAATGCTACCTTCTTAAAAAAAAGTATAATTTAGTTAATTACAACTTTAGATTAAAATTTATTAGACTGCACATTTTCTAATTAGTTTTACAAGTCTGTTTGATCTAAATCAATGATTTTTTTAATGAGATTTAAATCACGATTTGCTGCACCCCATAGCACTTTAATCTTGCTAATCTTCTTAATACCTTAACTTGCATAACATTGGGAATGACTGATGTGCATTGCACTGTGAGTTCCAGACTCAGAATCTATCTCTAGGTGTAATTACTGCATGTATGCCCTGTAATTATAACCTGAGATAGTGGTGCCACAATCACTGTGGAGTGGCATATGTTGAGATTTTAATCGTGTACTGTAACAGGGTGGCTTGCCCTTGGGCTGGTGAGCCTCGGGGTAAGCTAGCCCTTATTACAAGATGAGCCCTATCTGAGAGGAATCTGAGGCAGCAGGAAATTGAAGAGGGGATTTGATAGAGAGAAGTAGCTGGGACTGCTGGAAGCAGGAGGCCTGGCAATAAGGGCTTGTCTTCGCTACTGGGGAGATCGATGCTGCTGCAATTGATGCAGTGGGTGTTTGATTTAGCGGGTCTTCCACTAAATCGACAGAGTGCTCTCCAGTCGACCCTGGTATTCCAGCTCCCTGAGAAGAATGATGACTGGAGAGGGTCTCCCATTGACGCAGCACAGAGAAGATACTGAGGTAAGTCGACGTAAGCCACATTGACTCCAGCTATATTAGTCATGTAGCTGGAGTAGTGTAATTTAGGTTGACTTACCCCGGTGAAGACAAGCCCCGCACTCCAAACCCCTGCTCCAGCCCAGTGAAAGTGAGTGAGTGAGAGAGGGGGGAGGGAGGGAGGATGGAATGAGTGGGGGTGGGGCCTTGGAGAAGGGGCAGGGCGAGGGTGTTCGGTTTTCTGCAATAAGAAAGGTGGCAACCCTAAGTATTTTTTAATTTTGCAGTCATACAGACGTACGTGAGTGAAACACAAAATGTGTATTTTCAGGGTACTAAAATGAAAGCACTTAATTAAAAAGGAGAAAACACTCTTGACAAAAGTTGATCAGCTTATAGTACTGAGCTGTCCTTGCCATTGTCTGCATCAGGAACCAAATGCCAGTTGCCTGATACCGTTAGCATTTGGGAGACACCTTGTCAACCACAATTTAAGTCTTTCCTTATGTGTAACTTTGGAAAACAAGATTGTTCTTTTTGTTTGTCTTGGTTTGCGTTTCAGTACCTCCATTATTCTGAAGCTAGTCATAGCGTACTTTGTTTCTACTGTTGAATAGCTTTTAGGCACAAACCACATTTGACTAAGTGCATGGATAAAGCTTTCACATAGTTTGCATTTTCTAATTGGAAAAAGGCACAAGAAAGATTTGAGACACACCGAGCTTCTTCGTATCACCATGAAGAAGTAAATATTTTTTTAAAAGACCACAAAGAATGTTGGTGACGTGCTAAGTTTTCAGTACTCTCAGAGGAAAGAAGAAAGCAGAAAAATCCTAATGAAGATATGAAGTTGTATGTGATATGTTGCCTGATGAGGATTTGGCCATTGTACTGAACAAACTGAAAATACACCCTTCAGTGGACAGGTTGACTGCCCACACTTATCTGAGTTCCCTTTCTCTTCATCAGGCTCATCCCTGTTTGCTTGATGGGACTGGCTAGGCTGCCGCGGAGTCTCAAAGAGATCCTGATTTGCATCATAGGTGGAGTCCTCTGTTGTCTCCTCGTTAGAATATCAGAGTTGGAAGGGACCTCAGGAGGTCCTCTAGTCCCAACCCCCTGCTCAAAGCAGGACCAATCCCCAACTAAATCCCCAAATCCCTAAATGGCCCCCTCAAGGATTGAACTCACAACCGTGGGTTTAGCAGGCCAATGCTCAAACTACTGAGCTATCCCTCCTTCTCCTTGCTGTTTATGGCAGCATCTCTGTCTCAGGCTCCTCTATTCCGGACAGGAGCGCATCAAGTTCATGGAGCCGAAATGGTTGTTTGGGCAATTGCACACAACAAGAGTGAGCTACTAGTTGTACTGATTTCAGGATAGGTTTATTCAATTTGCAAGGAGGGTCTTATAAACTCTTCAAGACAGAATGGTCTTTGTATAGTGCCTAGCACAGTGGGGTCTTCATACCTGATTGACATCTCCTAGGTGTTACTGCAGCAAAAAGAATATTTTGACAAGTAATTTGGGGATTGATTAGTTCTCCTCACTTTATAAATGGATTTTGGGGAAAAGCATAACAAGGTGAAGATGTATGCAAAACTCTTTTCAAGTGGTATAAATGACTAATTCTAATATTTTTTTAGGTGCTAGACTTCAAAATAATGAAAAACAATTTTGTTTTGCTGTGGACTAATAAACTTAATGAGCAGTTAACTTTCTTTGGAAAACTTAGGAGACAATTTTATGTAGAACTGTTCTCAATATATTTTGTGCAATTCTTATTATAAATTACTTGGGATATGTTAAGGAAATTAATATGTTTATGTAAAATATTATCATTGTGTGTAGTTTTACGCCATATCTGATGTTGGGTTCCTGTTTGCTCGACATCACAAAAAGTTTCTGTGGAATTGAATAGAGGATTATTTAGCTATAGAAGAATCAGGAGGGGCAAATACATGTCAAGTAAAAGTCCTGTTTTATGCACATAATAGAAAATAAATATAGAAACTGTTTCTGCAGTGAATAGAAGATTTTTTTCAGAATTCTGTGTGAAGCTTCTCAGATTACCTTTATACAGAGTTTGAAAACTAAGCAAAGTCTGACACCCTTTCCTTTTCTGCCCTTTCCTCTTTCTATTCATATTCTCAGGTACACTTACGAAAAAAGTTCATTTTCTTATGTGTTAAGTGATTGGCATATTATCTTAAGTGTTCATAGTTCAGCATCTAGGTAATTTGCATTCCTTTTTTTACCTTCCAACCTCTGAATGGATTTATGAGAAGGCAGCCTTTTTTTCTACCATTTTTCTTTTCCCCTTCCTTTTACCTCTGTTTCTCCCTCTTCTTTGAGGTCTCTCCCCCTTCTTTTTTAGAAACAAAATGATGATAATGAAGGATCCAAATTACTAATAGAACATGTGTGGAGTTAAAAAAACAAACAAAAAAACCCAGTACATTATACAACGAAATAGTGGAAAATCATATCCTTTTCCTACCACGTTCACCAATACCTGATTTCAGGCCTCTTTCTATGTGTTTAATGGAAGAGCTGTTACATAGGGAATACGGCTTTATGTACTGTTTCAGTGTTGATGGCATCTGCTGTTACATGAGAAACACAGAATCTTGCATTCAGGTAGTTAATCATGAGCCAAATAGTTGTTTATGAACACACACATTTGTTTTGAAATGGCTGTAACACAAGTGTCAAAATAACTGAACAGGTATGGTGAGCTACCTTTCAAAGTGTTTATGACACATCATTGCTATAATATGCTTTGTATGCAAAATAAGTAATCCAAATTGTATAATTTACGTTTGTTTCAATCAATATTGATTTGATACTTGATATTCAAGTTACTTGCTTTCATGCCTTTTTAATCAAACAAATAACAGAAGCAAAACTTGCCCTCATTGGCGGTTTTCAAATTAGGACCATATGTAATTTTTAAAATAAATTTGCTATAGTTTTAACACACAATACCATTGAAATCAATTACTTTTTTCTTTGTCTATGTGGATATTGTAATTGACTGATAATCTACAGTGATAGTTGACTCTGAGCATCATTCTGTGAACAAATTAGATAAACTGTTCTTGAGGTCATTAGTCCTGCATATATAGAATTAATAGATAAGTTGTCTGTTTGTTGAATGATTGTTCTGGCTATTTTGAAAAAGGAGAAAACCTACATAGAAAACTACATGTAAATTGAAGTTTGAAAAACTATGAAATATGTACAGCAAAAACGTCTAATTTCTCTAATAAGCAATTAGTCTACTGATCATTTTAATAAGCATTACTACAGGTACAGTTTTTACTTTGTAAACTTTTGCTTAAGTAGGACTTAGTCAGAATGCAGTTGCTGTTGTGTGTTAATGTAACACATATTTTAGCATATGCAGTGAGGCCCACTGTATATGGGCTGTAAAAGAGCAAAGGAAATTAAATAAAAATGATGGCATTACAGTACAGTCATGCATCTGACATAAATACCAAAGCAAGTAAAATATAAGTTAAGGCAACTTCATTGTTAACTCAACCTGTTTTGTCTTGATGTTGCAACTCAGTTGAGATCTTATTCTCTTTTAGAAAAGAAAGATGTAACACAAAGCTTAGAAAACTATACATCAAAATGTCCTGGCACGATGGAGTTCATCACACTTCCAGAAGGTTTGAGGTTGCCCCCCGTGCCATTCACCAAGCTGCCTATTGTAAGGTAAGACTATATAAAATGGTGCATTGCAAATGTCTGTATTTAACATTTAAAACTCGTCTTGTAGTATTGAAAATTAGACTAGATAGTCATCAGATCTTATCAACTTGCATAATTTGTTGTCCAGAATGACACTGAAACGCGTTAAATTTGGATTTCTGAGATAAAAATACAGAAGCATAAACTCTGTTCCTTTAGAATGGTTGGGCCAAATGAGACTCTTTGAGTGATGCAGAATTTTCCCTTGTCTTTACATTATATCAGAATTTTCTGAAAATCAAAGTTAAAAATAATCATTGACCAAGAAAAGAGTTGCACATTTTAAGATGGGATTTTCAAAGGTTTAAGGGAGTTAGACACCTAACTCCTATTGACTTGCAGTAGGTTGCCTAACTCTGTTAATCCCCTTCAGACCTCTTAGCCCACATTATTTATATATGTGGTGCATTATTCAAAGTCCTTTCATTAAGTAATTTGCCATCTAATTTAGATATGGAGGTTCTGGAGTGGGAGCAAATGTCATAGGAGAGCAATAATGGAAAAGAAGGCAAAGGAAGATATTTGTTTTTCCAACAAGGACCTTTAGCAGGGAAGGCAAATGCCCACCAAAAAATAAAGTAGATACCACTGTGAACAATGCTCAAAGTAGACTCCAGTTCAACGTGGAGTGTCTGTGAATTTCAATATGCAGGACTTTTGGTACCAAGAAAAGAGAGTAGTAATATTAGTAGAGTGAAAATTAATGAGATACAGAATAAAAACACACAGACTTCGTAGTCTAGATAGTTGGTTTATGTAACCATTTCATTACTGTTATCATCATCTTTTGATCCTATTGTTTAACTTACTAACTGAAGATAAGATTCAACAAATAAGTTTTCTAGGACAAGGGACCATGTTTAACTGTGTTTGTAAAGCATCTAGTACAGGGGTCCCCATTCTGGTTGTGGCCTTCTAGGTCTACCATAATGTAAATATCTAAAGTTTTCCAGTGTAATGTGAAAAATAATTACTTAATTTGAATAAACTATGTTTGTCAGCATAAATTTGATAGCCTGGTATTCTAGAATGTAACTATTTCTTGTCTTCTGAAATTCTTATTTAAGATGGCTTCAGAAATCCCTGTTTATGAAACACATTTTTATGAAACCATAATCCTTTAATTAACTAAGCTTCAAGTATACCACTTTTAAGAATGTAAATTAAAGTAGGAAAAAATTTGCAAAAACCTTTCTAATACTTGAAATAAGTGACTGATTAATTTAGTTAATGAGCCCCAAGGGGAACTTACTCATTTAGGTAAACACATACAGTTATTTTGAGCAAGGGTTGTTGGTGTAAGAAAAAACACGGCAAGGCTTTTTCCTCATTAAATTGCTTCTGCAAATCTCCATTCTTGGAAGTGCATACTGTGGCTCACAAGTAATGGAAACACTGAATTATAAACCATTATGATAGACCCAAACTTAGACAGGAGATCTGAATGTTCCAAACATCAGTAAATTAACACTTTCATTTAGCTGTCCCCAGTTCTTCACTTCTTGCCTGTCAAAATGGTCTCCTCAGTTATCTTGTTTGTTCAGAAATTGTAGTTGTGGAGTAAGGAATTCAGGATAGCATTTAGGTTTTTTACTGTTGAGTAGCATTTGGTTAGCGTTCGAACAAAATTCCCAATCTTGAGGAACATCCAGTTTTTTTTAAAGTGCACCTTGCCAATAGCAAGATGTTGCTTATTGACCAACATGTACAATGCTTGAAGTGCCTGTGGTGACAGGCTCTCGCTTCAGAGTTGCTTGCTTTGTGTTATATTTATTACCTGGACTAGGAGGGAATGTGAAACTTACCCACATACGGGAAACTTTAGTTACTTGACCCCTTCTTAAAGAAGCACCATTGAATTTACTTCTGAAATGTCAAATCCTAAATTGAAGGCCCAGATCTTTGCTTTTAGCTTATCCTTTAAAGACATTGTCAAAGTTGGTGAGTCTTTTTTGGTGTACTAAGAGTCCATTGTTCCTCTCCTTTCTATACTGGGGATTGAGTCAAAGCATTTAAGCCCAGGGGATATGGAAAACAATGATCTAAGCAGGGAAAGACTCCAGAAAAGAGGACAAGGTCTTTCTCCCCTCAGTAGCTACTCCTACAGAGTGGTGGTTCTTCAAGTGATTGCATATGTCCATTCTACGGTAGGGATAATGTGTGCCTTGTGTACAACAGTCAGAAATGTTTCCCTCAGTAGTACACTTTCAAGGCATTGTGACCACTTTGCTGCCTTGTGCCACTTTATGCAAGTATAAAGGGTAGAACCGCCCCCCAGTCCCTCTCAGCTCCTTCCGACTGCCAGTGTCAGTTGTTGGAGCTGCTATCCTGAGTAAGTCTTAACCTCTTTAGTGTATGTAGTGCCCATTGTGTTGATTTTCAGTCTAGTTTAGTGTATTTGTACATAGTTTAGATGATATAAGAGTAAGTTGAGATTAGTACTTTGTAGTGTGGAGTCACCGGTTCCCATTTGGGTACCAAACAGGTACTGGATCCTGAGCCATTTTCTTGGCTTCAAGTCCTGTCACTCATGTAACAAGTCTATGCCAGTAAGTGGCCCACACCCCAGCTGCCTTAAGTGTCTGTGAGAGGCGCATTTGAGTGACAAAAGTCTCATTTGTAAGGGTGTTCAAAGAAGGACAGGACAGCCAAATCCAAGTATCTGCTTATGGAGTCTGTACTTTGCCTGCCATTGGCACCTTCCTTCTCATAGCGGGTACCGAGCATGTTCTGAATCTATTAGGACTGCTCCCCTGATCCGACTGGGTCAGGAAGCAGATTCTCATCACTGGTGCTGAGGAAGAGACAACGTAAGTCTTCAAAATCTGTGGTGAAAGCACTGAGTAAAGGCCAGGACATTGAGGTGCACTTGAAGAGGCATTCCCAGGTGCAGCCCTTAAGCCAGGAGGGGTTGCTGACTCCGGAGTGCAGGAACAGGTCTGTTCAGACTGATCCGTGAAGTGCTGACGCAGCTTTCAGTACTGCAAAACCAAAAGCCTTTTCTGGTGCCATCTACAGCTGAGGTTTTTGAGGCAGCTTTAGTGTTACTGAACCTGTTGATACTGGCTTCCTCAGCTATTCAGGACTCTCTCCCAGTTCTGGGATTGGGTGTAAACACTTTTGTGGTTCTGGCTCCAGCCATAGTGCACCATTTGGAACCAGCAGCTGCTGCAGGTACTGTACCTCTCAAGAGGATTCCATCTAGAGGGAAGCCATTGATGATCTCGCTGATCTCTCCAGACTTGTAGGCGGTCTGCTGGAAACTGATGGGGGTCAGCTCCCCCTTGGTCTGAGGAAGCTGACTGTCATGGCTGGGTTGTGGGAGTCCAGAGCCAGAGTCCATGGTCACAAGACAAGAGTCAGCTGCGTCAGGATTCAAGGGGGTCAGAAGCAGCAGATAAACTGGAGATCAGAACCATGAATCAGAATCTAGAGTCAGGCCAGGTCAGGATACCAGGAGGTCAGATTCATGAGACAAATGGGAAATCAGAACTACGACTCAGATGTCAGGAATTCAAGCTGGGAAGTGGGAGCGGGAGCAGGAAGCACAAGGCATACCATCCAGAACAGGGTGGATCCCAGTTGTTCAGATAGCTTTCTGTTACTGCTTCTGGCTTAAGTAAGGCCAGCAGGCCAATCAGCTGCTCTGGTATGCTGCCAATAGGACTACAGGGGCGGAGTCTCAAATTGGGGATGGGCTTCATGGGTCCCAGGTATGCAAGCATCATCAGGGCTGGAGTGTGGCTGCTCCTATAAAACCTGCAGACACACATTCAAGACTGTGGGTCATGATACTGACTCCTCATCAGACTCCAACGTCGGCTCTTATGCCTCTTGGCACAGGTATGTTCAGTAGTCCCAACGGGATGCCTGCCAACCCTGGTACTGGTCACAGCCTCAGCATTCCATCTTATCAGTGGCCCTTTTGGATCCCTTGAGGCTTCCCTCCACAGTCTAGGGCATCTCCACTCCATTCTCACTCTATACATTAGCATCTACAACAGGTCACCATCTGCCACTCTTGGTGCTGGGACTGTGCACAGGGAATTGCATGCTCTGGTTTCTCTTGTGGAGGAGCCAGTGGAGTCTCCACCTCAGCAACCCTTAACCTCCTCTTCTTCATTGCCCGATGAGGTGGTGCTAACCGTGTCTGCTTTCCCCCCTTTTGATGATTAAAGTTTATCAGGACTTATAGAGGAGCGTGGCTGCAGCTCTGGATACCCAGCCAGAAGAAGACAGGAAAAGTCGCATAGGCTGGTGAATGTTTTAGCCTCAGTGGGATCTTCCAGGGCAGTGATCCCCAAACTTTTTATCTGGTGCCCGTCTTTACCCCGTCTGCACCCCCACCCTTGGAGCCAGGGCTGGGAGTGGGGCCACCACTCCGGAAGGGGGAGGGGAGATGCAGACAAAGGTAAGGGGACTGGCTGGGGCCACAGCTGGGGATGAGAGTGGGGCTGGGAGCGGAGCTCCAACCAGGGGCCAGTGTCAGCAGCCGGGGCACAGGGCAGGCGGCCAGGGCCCTGGGCACCCCACAGTTGAGGGACTTCTGTTCTAGGGTAGCTCTTCCTATTAATGAGGCTATCCTGGAGCCAGTCAAGGCTTTATGGCAGGCCCCGTCTTCCCTGCTTCCCACTACAAAAAGGGTGGAGACATTCAAACATTTTTATAACAATGCTCCTCTGGGCTCCATTGTAGTCTCTGCTGCTAATCAAAAAGAGAGACCGGGACACCAGGGATCTACACCAAAAGGGGAAAAAAGCAAAGCAACAACCTGTTCTGAAGGCAGCTTTATATCACAGGAAGTTTACAGTTTCGTATCCTGAAATTTAAGGACAATCTTCTTGACGAGACAAAGCAGGAGTTTGCTGCTGTGGCAGAGGAGGGCAAGTTAGTTGGAAGAACAGTCTTGCAGGCTGGTCTAGATATGGCAGACTCTGTGGTTCGAGCTATGGCTTCCTCCATCA